TTCACTGCGTTGCAAACTTTTGACTGAAATTATAATACCCTCTGCAAGGGTATAAAAAAACCAAGTTATTTAACTAAATCATGCGATATCTGGCGAAAGTTCAATTACGTTTTTCATTTCCCTCGCTACCAAAGGAAACTTTGAACTTTCAAAAAAAGCGAAAAAACAGCGAATAAAGCTCGTATCGGTGTAACGAACCGATATTGTTGCTTTAGCTATTGTTGTTTATATATTTGTTGTTGCTGGCTACAATATTACACACTTATAGCAAAGCGTGTGCGCTTTTATCGGTCACCGAAAAGGAGAGAGTGCGAAATACATATTGTAGATATTGCGAAAGTGAGAGCAACTTCTGTTCGGCAAAAAAAATTCAAGGACGTCGGGAGGGGCGGAGAAAGGGGGCGTGTGCCGTTGCAGGTGCTTGAACTTTTCTCTAGCTGCAGATAAGAAAACAACAATTACTGTAGCGCATGTCTCTGTAGAATCAGGTGTTTGTGGGTGACTGAACCGCTGCTCTCCTCTCACGAAACACACCCCCCTCCCCACCCCTATTCCCACCCCCAACTCCTTCCACCCACCGCCCCTGCGACCTTGCCAACTTGGCTGCAGCGGATATTGTTGGGGTAGGAACTGAGTCACTGGACAAATAGCTACACGATTTGTCATACTTTTAATAGTTTTTATTTTTATTAATAATTTGTCATTGCTAAAAAAATACACAAAATATTTTAATTGAATCAGAAGAATGCTTCTGCATCTGAAACCTATATTTGATAATTATTCAATCATTTGAAATAATCTTTATAAATAACTCAACGACTTGCAAATTATTATGGTGACATCTGCGTTTCCCCGTTCCAAGTGAATTGTCCCCCAATAATCAATAAATTGCGAATTATCATCAATATGCAATGTGCCTGGCAATCGTGGCGCTCATGGTCTCGGGCCATAAAAATAATTATTAAGAACAACAGCGGATTGTTTTCGTTTCACGCGAGCACTTCCTGCCTCTTTTCTCAGCGCCTTTGTTCATCTGCCACAGGAAGTAATCCCCAGACATGTATGTATATATGTTGTATATGTGCACTCTATATATACCCCGCACTTTCGTGTAGATTACGTTTGTAAACACGTTTGAGCGATTTGGCTGGAAAAAAAGGGAGGCGGGGTATTGGCAAGCCACCTGCCTGCCGGATCCCAAAAACCCAAAAAGAGATCCCAAAAACATAAACAAAATAAGATAAAGTGCAACCTGCAGCGGCTTTTTAATGCGGAAATCGAACAACTCTGAACGTTTTCGTCCGGAAGTTGGATTTTGCTTTATTGAATTTATTTATTTATATTTAATTGCCTTTTCGATTGTTAATCCTTTGGCGGTTGGATAAACGTAACTCTATACAAGGTAATTAAATCCGTTTTTACAAAGCTAGTTAATATATATTTTGCATACCGGGGGTCTTACTTTACATTTTTATACCTCTGCAGAGAAAATTATAATTTGCAAACTAGTCTCTCAGTCTTAAATCATATTTGGCGTATACGTAATATTGGATTTCGGATAGCTAGCTCTGAAAATTCTAAACAAAATTGGTTCATTCCTTTAAATTAAATTTCTAAACAATTTCTAAACAATAATTGCTTTTAACATTGTCTAAAGTTTTAAAAGTTCTTTAATTTATTAAGCTCATCAATAGTCAGACATGGCGTATACGTAATATAGTTTTTCTTTCGAAGTTCAAATCGTTACTTTCATACCTTTGCAAAGGGTTAATCTGGACATGCTCGCTTGTCCGTCCGTTTTTTACAAAAACTAGTCTCTCAGTCTTAAACCATATTTGGCGTATACGTAATATGAGATTTTGGATAGCTATGTCTAAAAACTCTAAACAAAATTGGTTCATTCCTCTAAATTAATTTTTTAACCAATATTTGTTTATTGCTTTTAACATTGCCTACAGTGAGTATAGGTTCTTTGAATTCGTAAACTCATCAATATTCATGCATGGCGTATACGTAATATAGTTTCTTTCGAAGTTCTAATTAGTATTTTCATACCACTTCTAAGCCCATAACTTTTCTTACAGACATTCGATTGCAAAGGGGCATACCTCAAAATAATTGTGGTTTAATTCTCTAAACATCTGTGTTTTTACTTTCCTTTTTTTTTTTTGGTCGATTTTTCGTCATTTTTAATGATGTTACCCCTTTCCAAATTTACGAAAAATAGGTTTGCAGAAAAATGCCAAAAACTGCACTTCTAAGTTCATAACTTTTCTTGTAGACATCCGATTTCAAAGTGACATACCTCAAAATAATTGTGGCTTAATTCTCTAAACATCTGTGTTTTTACTTTCCTTTTTTTTTTTTGGTCAATTTTTCGTCATTTTTAATGATGTTACCCCTTTCCAAATTTACGAAAAATAGGTTTGCAGAAAAATGCCAAAAACCGCACTTCTAAGCTCATAACTTTTCTTGTAGACATCCGATTTCAAAGTGACATACCTCAAAATAATTGTGGTTTAATTCTCTAAAGATCTGTGTTTTTACTTTCCTTTTTTTTTTTGGTCGATTTTTCGTCATTTTTAATGATGTTACCCCTTTCCAAATTTACGAAAAATAGGTTTGCAGAAAAATGCCAAAAACTGCACTTCTAAGTTCATAACTTTTCTTGTAGACATCCGATTTCAAAGTGACATACCTCAAAATAATTGTGGTTTAATTCTCTAAACATCTGTGTTTTTACTTTCCTTTTTTTTTTTTGGTCAATTTTTCGTCATTTTTAATGATGTTACCCCTTTCCAAATTTACGAAAAATAGGTTTGCAGAAAAATGCCAAAAACTGCACTTCTAAGTTCATAACTTTTCTTGTAGACATCCGATTTCAAAGTGACATACCTCAAAATAATTGTGGTTTAATTCTCTAAACATCTGTGTTTTTACTTTCCTTTTTTTTTTTGGTCAATTTTTCGTCATTTTTAATGATGTTACCCCTTTCCAAATTTACGAAAAATAGGTTTGCAGAAAAATGCCAAAAACCGCACTTCTAAGCTCATAACTTTTCTTGTAGACATCCGATTTCAAAGTGACATACCTCAAAATAATTGTGGTTTAATTCTCTAAACATCTGTGTTTTTACTTTCCTTTTTTTTTTTGGTCGATTTTTCGTCATTTTTAATGATGTTACCCCTTTCCAAATTTTCGAAAAATGGCTTTGCAGAAAAGTGGCAAAAAACTGCACTTCTAAGCTCATAACTTTTCTTAGAGACATCCGATTTGGAAGTGGCATATCTCAAAATGATTGTGGTTTAATTCTCTAAAAATCTGTGTTTTTACTTTACTTTTTTTTTTGGTCGATTTTTCAACGAATTTTCAATGACTCTTTTATAACTATCAGTAGTTCGATGCGCTCTGAATTGAGTTAATCACTGCGCCTTGTCGATCATTTAATCTAGAATGTTTACGAGCATTAAGTACTCTTCATATGGATGTGGACACATGCAAATGTTTGATTACTCGCAAGAGTGTTTGTGCATTAAATGCGCTTCGCGATTTACATTTCCGAGTTCTGAAGGCCAAACGAGTGAAAAGTTTTCGCAGATATCAACTGAGCTTTCGCAAATTGAATTCTACTGCGTCTTAGGTGCATTGAACCTATTGTTTATTTAATTTCACGAGCTTTCGATATGGGGCGCTAAGTAGAAACTGCTGATGTTTTTGGCAAATGCCAATGCCATTGCCAAAAAAATCGAAAAAACAAAAAAAGAAGAACATTTCTCCTGCCCCTTAGCCACCATTTCGGGCATTAAATTCAACCTCGAAAACAAACTTTTCTTTCGGCGGCGAAGTTCATTGACGTACTTTGACCTCGCGAGTGCGTTGCCTTGTCTCCCTCGCTCCTTTGTGATTGTTGTTGATTTTACTGTTGTTGCCGGCGCATTTATTGCATGCGATCATCATCATGACGAAGACGACATCATCATCATTGTCGTTGATGTTTTATTTTCCGTTTTGTTTTCCTCCGCCGCGAGATTGATTCGAGTGGGAGCATCCTTGACCGGTCAAGTTTCGCACTTTGCATTTTGTCCTGACCAGGGCTAGTTGGTGGGTACAGTGGAACCACGTATATTGGACGGAGGTAAACAGTTTTTGATATATTACATTTTGAGAGGATCGTTACATTTATTTTAGTGGCAAAATATAATAGCTTTAATTATATATTTAATATTTTATAATTTTAAATTCTATTAAGAAATACAAAAAGTGCCAAAGGCCTATTCTGTATTCAATTTTAAGTTAGAAAATTTAGGAAGCTAGGAAGCCATAAACACATAATTTCTTTAATCTACTTATGTTGTAAGATCTTAGAAAGGTTACTAAGGTAAAAATGGCATTTTCGTGAGTATTGTTAGTCAATAAAGAGTTTTTATTGTACATTTTTTCAAACCCACGAAGTGAAATTCCTGACGTCTTAGCAATAAACCCAGACGAAACCCCCAACTAATTTGCATGCCTTCGATAAGAATACATTTTATTGAAATTAGTCTGGGAACTGAAAAACAAAAGCCTACAAGTCATCAATTCATGTGCGGGCAGTATCTTGAAATTACAACAGCTTTACACAAAACGTTTTGTTTACATTTAGCTCTGGAATTTGTTGAATAACTTCAGTAGGAAAGCTACAAAAATTCTTTTGCAAATAGTTAAGTAATTAGAAGGTATGTAAAATGCAAAATAGTCAAGATTACAGGGAATAGAAAATAGAGATCCCAAAAAAAAATACAATCTTCCAAGCTTGTGAGATATATAAAGCATTTCGCATCCGTTTTGTACCACTGTGCGTATGGGTGGCAATCAGCTGAGTGCTGCAAGTGTGCACAGCTGTTTTTTAACGTAAACCCGAAACGTGTGGCGTGCGATTAAACCGCATCATAACAAAAAGCGAACGCGAAATAAACAGGCAAAACAGCGCAAAGCAAAGAAGGAAAGAATCACAAACTCACATGTTGCTGCTGTTGATGTAGCTGTTGCTGCTGCTGCTGCTGCTGCTGCATTGCACATATCGTCGTTAGTGGTAAATATTGTCGTTGGATTCGAAGTGGCTGTCGATCTGAATTTCATCCAAAAAGGTCGCGAATTGGAATTGTAATACATTTTTCCCTGTCGCCTAAGAAATGGCCGATTGTAGCCGTTGATGTTGCTGCTGCAGCCGAGGATGTTGCTGCTGCTGCTGCTGTTAATGTTGCTGCTGTTGTTGTTAATGTTGCTCCTTTGTTGTTTACGTAGCTGTTGTTGCTCTAGCTCGGCCTTTCGCTTGATTGCTGCACCATAGGGCTCCAGCATGTTTTCCTTGGCAGCGATTTCCGCCAGCAGCATGTTGCTGCTGCTTCAGTGTTGCACCTTTGTGGCTGCCTCTTGGAGCTGTTTGTCCAGGTGATTATGTTGCTGCTGCCACAATATTGCTGGTGTGTCGCACTATAAATGGCTACTGGTGTTGCTGCTGTAGCTTTAATATGTCCTGTTTCTGTTTTCGCTAGCAAATACCGAATATATTGTTGCCGTATTTGTTGTAACTTCTAGTTCTATTTGCGTCACTATTTCCTCTGGTTGCATCAGCCAAACTCGCATAGCTTGAAGTTATTTTAGCCGAAAAAAGTCTTCTGTTCAGTGGCTGTTACACTCACGGAAAACACAAAGAGTCGTTTGTATATTTCCCGTTTGACGTCACTTCACTTATGATCAGCAAAAACAAAAAAAAAACACTGATCTACGCAGCACTCGAAAGTAAATCCCAGGGCCAAGAAAATTGCACCAGAAAATGCGTTGCCAAATTGGGAACTCGCAAATTCCCCAGTCATCTGCACACTGAATTTACTTTCGCAAACAAAACAAACATGTATACAGTGTGTTAAATCACTATTATTATTAACAAGAATTTAACGGTGAAATTAGCGCTCCACCCAACTGGTTGGACCAACAACAACAAAGTGCCCGCATATGATTGAAGCTCAGAAATGGACTGCCAGCAATTGTTGCTGCCGCTTTTTTGTTCTGCCGACGTCGCAGCCGCCAGAAAAGCAGCAATTTCGCTCTCTCTCGATTTTCGATTTCGAGCGGAATGAAAAAAAGCGGTCGCTTTATGCAAGTGCCATATAGTCTACAGTCTTTGTGCATAATTCCAAGAATATATCAGCGCCAAAGAGTTCAAATGCGCAGGAGAGAATCGTGAGCATGAAAGTTTGCCATTATCACGACGACTATCGGATACCTGTTAGGTATATGGTTTTATACAAAAGATATATTTTAATTATGTTTAAAAAAGCCTATTATCGAGATATGATAAGCCCATTAATGCACACCCACAAAAGAAATAGTAATTAACTATAATAAAATGATATTGCCATCCTGTGTAAACTGTAAACTATTTCGGCATGGTTCAATATTATATGGAACGTAATTTATATAATAGAACATAGCAAATAAGAGATCATATAAATAACAATAGTTCTTATGTAAATAAAAAATAATAAATGCAAGCTAATTTTTAAGTAACAACTTATATACCCTACGTTGCATTAGTTCGGCAGATACAACATGCCGTGGTGCTCCGTAAGATACCAGGTATTATCATATCAGTACCTTCGCTGCCCCAGTCGACGTCGCTGAACTTGCAGAACAAAGAAACCCGCCCGCTGACGCATGCCCCGTATCTCGAATAAGGCTTATATTGCGCCTAACCCAATTCGAGTGTCATCATCTGGTCATGGAGCCCAGTGTTAATGCTGCTGTCTTTATCCCCCAACCTATTCCCGTCTCTTTCGACGGCTATCAACGCGACATTGACCGGTAAAGCTTTCACTTAGAGGACCGCATCGAAAGCACAGTGGGTTTAATTCAACAGTGTGTTTGAAGGAAATAAAACCTTTTTCATAATTTTAGAGCAAGGATACTACATTTTTGTACTGTTTAAAATAACATACAAACAAGTGTATATAAAAGAACAAGCCTTAAAAACACTGATTTTGAATAATTAATTTTAAAACTTTAAAAATAAAGATATATAAAATGTTTAGTTTTTGAAAACTTACCCAATTTTATATTGTTGTTTATTTAATTTAAAAATTCCACCAAAATATTACTTTTAAAGTATGTCAGGAAATTGTTTTCTTTAATTTCATATTATTTTAAGCGATCACATTCACTAGATTGTTTAAAGATTATAATATTGCTTATCAGAAAATGTATTATATCTTGTAAAAACACTATGTTGTATTTAAATGAATCCACAAGACCACTGAAATATAGTTTTTCACGATTAAAAATTCCACTGCTCAAGGGACCTCTCTACTTCGGTGTAAGAAGTCAACTGATCCTCGTCGCCCGCATATTCATATATTTATAAGGGGTCATGTCTGCCTGGACAGTCAAAAAGAGATTAAAAACACATTGTGACCGATAAGGGGTCGACCAGTAGTTATCAGGTAGTTAGTAACGACCCGTCGTCGACCTGATTTAGGGACAATCCGAGGAGGACCTCCCCATGACAAGCTGACGCGTGTCTGCAGAAATTCTCCAGGGATTTACCTGGTTTTATTGGCTTCTAACCCACTGTGCAGGTCTGCGAAAAAAGAAGCTTGCAGTTGTTAAATCTGGGGAGTTTGGGAAATTCTGTGGAGGTCAAGAGGTTTAAACAACCATTTTTACATTTTAGGTAGAATTTATCACCTTACTTTGGAGATAATTCGAAGATGCCCCTTACATCGTTATCTAGTGTTTCTAATAACGTCTGTTGTTACAGTGTTTTAGCGTCTTTTTAGCCATTTAGGTCACCGCTGGTCGGCGGGCGTAGAACTTGGCTAACAAAAGCTTTTCGTTTTTCTGTGATTGCAAACTCGGCTGTTTAACGTTTGATTTTGATAAGAGCGCATTGCTTTTTAATAGTATTTATTTTATTTTGTTTTGAGCTGAAAATTCTAAACAAGTCGACGGATGGGCGATATGAACAAATCGCGGGGCATTGGCGAGCACGTACTGGTTTTTTCATTTGCAATTTGCCACTTTCAAGCGCATCCAGCGAGCGAAGTGCATCTTTCATTGGCAATTGCGTCTCAGCTTTTGGAAATCATTCTCAAGTACAACATATAACGAGCTATTTACGTTCTTTATACCCCTATAATAACACACTGAAGATATGATGAATATGGATATAGATATTTAGCTTAAGCATACGTAGGCACACAAAGCCGCAGATATTATTTCTCATGCCAGACACCTGAGTCACACTTGAGTCCAAATTAGAACACACGCAAAAAATGTAAATAAGCACAAAAATTAATAATAAAGCCGAAATGGAGTCGGCGAGATGCAAACAAATTATCTCAGCGGCAGAAAAGAGCACGAAATGGTGTCACTGTGTCATGTTTGAATTTAAGATGGCAACAAAGAATTCGGACAAGGGGTAAATACGTACATATGTAAAAAGTGGGGTAAATATTTTTGAATTATTTTTTTTGTATACCCTTTCAGGGCCATAAATCTCCCACACACATACTCACCAGCATTTGGGTGTGGAATTGTACTGCCTGGGATTGGTGATCGGTAATCCCGCGGTAATCCCGTTCCTAACCCAGATCCACAACTCGGAAGTCAACTTTTCGCGATCCGCTCGGAAAGCCGTGTGGTTATCAACTAAGCGCCGACGTGAGCTTCAGTCCGAGGAGGGGATAAACAGTGAAAAGTTAAAATCGGTAACCATAAACAATAAACAATAAAGAAACACAAAGGCGGGAAAAACGGATAAACAAGGGCTGAGCGAACAGCTGCGGTCAGAATTACGGAGACAGTATTTTAAGTTAAAAAATAATATAACTTTATATTAATTTGGTCAGATAATAACCCTAGCAAAAATAAAATGTTATTACTATACAGATCTTTGTATAAAGTTCTATCATAAAAAATAATAATCTTTGAATTTGGTTGTTACAAAACATTACCATTCATTTTCCGTTGGCAAAAGAATTTGAAAGAGCATTTTCAGAGCAGGGAACAGGGGGCTCAAATTAACTGGCACTAGAATTTCCACCATGACTGTAAGCCATCGCCGATTTATTCAGCGGGCAAACAAAGCGCAACAAGGCATGAAATACGGTAATTCACCCCCAACCAGTTGATATTGAACTGAGTACCGTTGGGATAGGTCATTCTCCCCGATAATCAAGTAGGGTTGCCGCCCCATCGATAGTACGCAACCCAGTAGGGTTATTGCCAAAATGGCAATCTCACAAGAAGGCTTTGACATAAACGTCAAAGTGAAAGTGCAGATTTTGCCATCAGCGAAAAGGATAAGTCATTCTCATTGTGAACGACAGCCAGTGAATTGTCTGAAAATCAGAAACTTATTGCAAAAGAATTAAAACTGAGTTGTGTGAAGATGAATCGCCCCAAGGAAATCAAGATCCACTCGAGTGTTTGGGTGAGTCTATGGTTTAGTAATGTGGTCCTGATGTCAAGACATTCCTTTGAAGGTTAACAAGAGCTACTCGGGTTTGAATGGTGGTGGCTTCGGACTAGCCACCCCGAATCCGGCACAACGCGTTCCGGAGAATTGGCGTCGTTTTCCGGGGGCCGTGCAGAATGGCCAGCGGGCAGCGGGCAGCAACTTCGGGGCCACCCGGAAGCCCCACCCCCCGAAGATGGAGGGCCCCCGGAGCGCCCAGTCCGCGGTGGGCCCCAGGCACACCAGCCCCACGGCCATGACCCGCCGTCTTGGCCAGTTGCCCACCAACCGGACCCAGAGCCCCCGGGGTCCAAGACCAAGTCCAAGTGCCATGGCCAACGAGCCGTTCTTCGCCAGCAACCTGAAGTACTATCCGCACCTGCCGCAGCCGCTATGGGTGGGCCAGTACCAGACTTACGCCGAGATCAAGGAGGCCATGTCGAGCGGCAACCACTCGCAGATCAGGGCACCCATGCCGCCGGAGAGCCATCTGCTCCACCGCCGTCCCAGTTCCCCGGCCCCCCAGGTGCCCGACGAGCCGCCCAGCCCGGCGCCTTGCCGCCGCTACTCGATGACCCGCCGCGGTCCCGTCCGCACGGGGAGCACCCTGGCCAACATCCTGCTCTCGGCCGGCAGCCATCTGCTGCGCCAGCCATTCCCGGAGATCCAGCGCCAGATGCAGGTGCAAATGCAGCAGCCGGTGCAGGACCCGCTCTTCACCCAGTTCCTGGCCCGCCAGGAGGGGCTGCGCGCCAGTCTTCTGGACGCCGAGGTGGTGGCCCACGGCTCATCCGAACCGGATTTCCAACGCCCTTCCACATCGAAAGCTGCGCAGAAGCTGGCCAAGAATTCCAAGCCCAAGCTGTCGTTCTCTTCCTCGGCTGAAGCCTCTACCTCGAAGATGTACGGCGACTAACAGCTGCTAAAATTAATAATAACATTAATATAACTGTAATAAATATACCATGAACAGGCTAACAGGTTATTATACAGGATAGGCAAATGTTATGGCTATGAAAATATAATTAGATGTAGCAATAATATTTATGTATATAACATTTGTATTAGCTAGCAGTTGAATTTTAATTTCAATTACAGCTAAATAAACATTTTATTAAATCGTTCTAGAATTAATTTTACTTAACAGTATTTTAAAAATGGATGGCTGGCATTTACGTTTTAATTTCAATGCCTTTAGAATGAGCATTATCATATGAAGCTTCCCTAAAAGTAGATTTGATTCGCCTGAAAACATAGAACATCGCTAGGAATGTGCCAAATTGATTGATTAGCGTTGCGTTGGACCATGTACTTCATCTCGCTGATAGCGGGTCCAAAATTAGATGCCCTATCTAATAATGCTCATCTTTTGATAATTGTGGCAGCGCATCTGTGGGTCGCGCAGGCCCAAACAATTATGGTAAGAACTATTATTCAAGCAGTTTACAGCCTGAAGAGGGCTCGTACCAGCGCTCTTGGATTTCAGTCCAAAGTTGCCAATTCACAATTAATAGCCGGCATTTGGTTCAAGTTTAATGCATTTTTTGCGCAGCAGTAAATTGCCGAATGGGCGGACTATTGCAATCTCTGACTTTGGCGGCGTGCCGCCATCGCGCCCTCTCTTTCTGACCCCTCTCTTTCTGACCCCTCTTCCCATCCCGCTCTGCCTTCGCAGAATAAAAACATGACAACAGCAGCAGATATGACATGAAAAGCCAAGTAAACATTTGTTGCTACTTGAGTTTTGACACAATTCGAGGACTGCAAGTGGTTCGGCCCAATGCGACCTGGAAATGCCCTACATACAAACCCTTTTCATTTTGAAGGCCATAAATATCGTTATGTACTGTGATATAGTTTTGTAAGTTGAATACCAGAATTTCAGTTGTTTGCTATTCCGAATCTATATGGATATATCTATACATTTAATGGTCAAATTATGTGCTTCATAGTGTCGAGAATCGCAATGTTTATCTATTGTGGCATGTCGATTTACGATCTTCAGATAGGATTGTCTGGGAATCGATGTTTACCTAGATTGTTCCTATTGTTTCTGCTATATTGTGTTGGTCAGCGAGTAATGCGCTCGGTAGAAGTATGTGAAGGTTTTGTATTTGCCTGCTTAGGGCTGTGCACACAAACAGATTGCGGTCGTAACGCCGTAGGTCATACTGTCTGCCAGATTGTCATTACTATTCCAGTACATACTAACGGCTAATGTTGTTAAAAACAAGAATAACTATACCCGTTACTCTTCAAGTTAATGGGTATATCGTATTCTTGGAGCAGTATGTAACAGCTAGACATGTCCGTCTATCCGTCCGAGGAAACGTTTAGATCTCGGGAACTAGAAAGTTGGGACATGACATGGGGATGTTAGTGCTGCCTACGCAGCTCAAGAATGTTGGCATTGCGCTTTTGATTAATAAATAATGTAAAAACATTCAATGTTGTTTATTTTTTTAGAGACTTTAAAAAAATATACTTTCATTTGCTTTTCTTTTATATTTTATATTTTTATTGGATTTTCCATAACCACAATAATGTTAACAAAATATACACTTCATTTTAATGTGAATGTAAATTTAAAGGTAAACTTTTTAAATGTTAATGTTAATATTAATGTTAATATAAAAATAAATGTTAATTTTACTGTTAATGTTACTGTTAATGTTACTGTTAAAGTTACTGTTAAAGTTACTGTTAATGTTACAGTTAATGTTAATGTTAATGTTACTGTTAATGTTACTGCTAATGTACTGTTAATGTTACTGTTAATGTTAATGCTAAATGAATGTAAGTGTTAATGCTAATGCTAATAATAATAATTTCGCAAGTGTGAATTTATAATTCCCAAGCAGTTCTAGCTAGAAATTCACGACCTAGGGGCTGAGGTAGTCGAAATATCAGTTGACCCCGATGAAAAAAGTTTTGTGTGGGTGTGTTTCCTGAGGGGCTGCAGATGCATGGTGATATTATTTGACTTGGATTGGTCATCAGGAGGATCAAGGACCTTTCAAGGTATGCCGCAATTGTCCTGATTTATTCTTTGAATTAATTTTTTATTTCTCGTTCCAGGTTGTAGGTGTTACGTGCTTTTTCTGAGAGCGGTTATTGTAGATATTTGGCGATACCATCTTCCTTGGACCGGACTCCTGGATGCAGTGCATCAAGGATCTTACGGAGTAAATACTACTTTTTGGAGAGCGGTTATTAGAGATATGGGAGATGCCATCTTACTTGGACCGGACCTTAGGATGCAGTGCATCAAGGATCTTACGAAGTGAGTACCACTTTTAAGATAATTAAAGTAAAATAAATTAACTATTTAAGCAATTAAGTTTAAAAATAAAATCTGATGTAGGAAAATGATTTTCTGAGTTAAAAAGATTTTTACGAAAGCTTCATCCCATAGCTCTTAAACTGAGAGATCGTAGATAGTAAATATTCCATAAATATTTGAATTACACTAATCTTTTCAATTAGTTTTAAATGAAAATCAAATGAAGACTATTCAAAGTTAAAAATGAGCTTAAACCACAACATGTCGATTTGATCTTCGATCCTATATGTTTAATTCCCACCAGATTATGTATATCTATATCTCAATTGCAAATCACGACGTTCGGCTGTCAGTTTTCAATTTGGTTCACTCGCACCGATAACCCTGGTGACCCCGATCGCCGTCCGCCGTACGCCCCTCGGAAACAGAATCCGCAATGCAGATACCGTGAGTCCTACATGGTGCACCATTGCCATGGCCACTTCGTGGCGAAGCACTTTTAATTTTAGATCGCTCTAATCGATCTTCAGTAGTTCAATGCGTCATTTGAGATTAGTTCGTGGCGTAGACTATATAGCTAGCCATAAATATATAATATATAATCGGAAGAGCCGACGAATTCTGGGGTCAAGAGCGATGTCCAAGTAGTTCGATCCGGAGCAGACGCATGGCGAACTAATTAGACGGCGGCCAGACGCGATCATTGGCGACCGGTGATCCGTGAGTGTATAAATTCCATTGTTGTCAAGTTCGATCCGGATTCGCGCACTTAGTTTCGATCCCTGACTTATGCAAGCGGTTTTGGGTTTATCTAGCGCTCGAATCGACCAGTTTGACACACGGCCACGTAGAGGAGCTTCTTTCCACGTCTAACCATTATCGGACTATATAGCCATATAGCCAGTTAGCACGAAGCCCCGATCATGACGCAATGGCTATATGCATCGCTTTATATGCGCGGTAAATCAAAACAAAGACATTGCTCCCCACGTTTGTTTTTGAAGATCTGCCATCTAACGATAAATCACATTCTAGGGTCAGGGTTTTCCAGGAATCTGCAATCTGGTTTACTTGGTTAATATGTTTTGGGAACTTTATATGTGTATTATTCTTTATACCTATGATTTCTAACAGATTTTTTTATTGTTTAGATGAATATGTCTAGTTCAAGGAAACCCTTTCAGCTACCACTTACAGAATATATATTGTGTACCAAGCTATCATATTTTTTGGATGGCTTATGCTGAGAATAATTCCGCATCTATAAATTATCTGAAACTACAACCGATAAGCGCACCCCTATTAGATTTATATATTTAACCACGTGCTGGGCGCCGTAATCACTCAACGGTTCGGTATTCCATGGGTGTTCTACGACAGGTGCAGCAGAACTCTCTCAAAGTTGAGTTCCGTTTCCGCCGGAATAAATATTATTATTCCTGCGACAAGAACTGTACTCGCATTTTTGATATTTGGAACCCAAAAAAAAACAAAAAAAACAGCGAAATATGTTTAATCGAAATACGTATGTGTTATATGGAATGTGCTATATGGACAAAGCAGACGCATTTATCATTTGCTAGGTGCACATACATATGTAGTATACGGATTTGGCTCACCTAGGTGATACGGATGTGTGCGGCAGTTGGGAATTGCAAATACGAGAGGAGTTCGGATGGGAATGGGATCTAGTCGAGTGTCAAGGCCAGGGGCTGCGTTCTCCAAAGGGATTTACCCGAAGATGTTCCAAACACCAAACAATAGCGCATATCATTTCCTTTTTCATGGAACGGGTATCAATTATCGAAAAAGTACGTGGCAGCGGGGGTGGTAACCCCCACTGAAATTCCATCTATGGAGCACCTGATCTATACTACATACCATACATAGTCGATAGAGATATGGTGCGGTCGACGGCGACTGCGAAGCGGGCAGCACCTGAACTGATAAGGGCTCAATATATATAAGTGCGTTGGCGGGGCCACAGTTTCCCAGTTCCCAGTCGAAGCAACCGCTGCAGCAGGTGTCCCGCCCCAAAAAACCCTGTATCAGAATCAGAATCAGAGATCCAGAACCAGGACAGCATGAAGCTGGACGAGAAGCAGAAGCGACTGGGCCAGGAGCCACCCAAGTACCTCAACGAGGACTTCTTCAAGGCTGCCTTGGAGGATGGACTGCGTGACATGCGGGTGGACATCAAGAAGATCATCTTCGCGGAGTCGAGCGGCGGAGGCGGTGAGAACTACTGCAGCAAGATATACAGGGCCAAGGCATTGTATCGCAGCAGCAAGAGGCAGCTGGACGAGGAGCTGGCCCTGATTGTCAAGAGCATCGCCATCACGCCGGCCACCCAGTTCCTCGAGGAGCTGGCCGTCTATCTGCGCGAGAAGATATTCTACTTCGATGTCCTTGGCAAGCTGGAGGTCCTGATCGGCGACGGGTCCAAGTTCGGGGCCAAGTGCCTCTACACCACCCGCGAGCCCATCCAGACGATCGTCTTCGACGACCTCACCCAGTACGGCTACAAGCTGGCCAGCCGGCAGAGTGGCCTCAACGAGGAGCACTGCGTGGTCATCCTCAAGAAGCTGGGCAAGTTCCACGCCAGCTCCATGCTGCTAGCCGAGAAGGTGAGTTGGCTCCAAAAAAATGCATCCTATTTGTAAAATTAATTAAACTTAAAAAACCCCGAAAAAAACCCATAAATCTCTATAATTTTCTATATATAGCTTATAAATATCATATTTCTTTTACTGATAAATCGCATATATATAGCTTTTAAATATCACCTTTCTTTTGCTGATAAATCCTTATACTTTTCCAAATAGAATTTATTAGATAAATTTTCATTACAAAAATTGCAATGAAAAACCATATTTTATTTCACGATATTTCTGTGGTACGCAAAAGATTTAAAAAATATTTATATTTTTGTAAGTTAAGAAAATATTTTACAATATATGATTGCTTAACTCGACGCCATTAAAATATTTGGTTTACACTTTTTGTGCAAAACAAAAATTGGGTTTTACATTTTATGTAGTTCACTCTGGAATAAACCAGCTACAAAGAGAGTCAATAAACTTCTCAAATGATTGTCAAATCATTTAAAACGAATTCCAAAGTTCAATAGAAATACAGAACAAAATTAAAAATTGCTTAATTTCTATCTTGTCACGTGATCATTGCAAATGCAACTGAGATAAGAAATTTTTTAAAGCGCAGTTTAAAAAATGAGGTCATTACTTTCTATTTTAAATTATCAAAATGAAATGCTCTCGGTAATTTAGAAATGGGAAATATTTTTGAATTGCCTCGCGCTCTCACAAAATAGTCACCTTTTATTTATATGATTTTCATTTCATTACACAACTACTAATGCTTCTACAAATATCGATGAGATTGATTAACAATTTGAAAACACAGCTGGCGCCAAACTGCACATTAAAATAAATGTCATTTCCCTATCATGAATGGGGTTTTTGCTGATCAAGTGCCTACGTCAAATGAAGCCAAATGAATGTATATTTGACCATTTAAGTGATCCGGTTTTAGTGACTATAGGTAGTTTGTTGAATATAATAGAAATATACCTACATAATGAGTCTTTGAAATATCTTATTTTAATATAATTTATATTTAACAAGTTAAAATAAGTCAAACTACATTTTATAACATGCCATTTCCTACTCTCACTTGTCCATCCAAAAGCAAATATCAAATCAAAATCAGAAATGGGTAAAGTTTGTTTGTTTTTTTGATTTCATGTTTATTTTATTGGCTTGGAATGTCTTGCAGGAGCCGAGTGTCCGGGAGCACTTCACCACCGGAATGCTGGACGAGAACTACATCCGCACCAACGAGCGGTTCATCAACTTCATGACCCTCCAGTGCCGGACTTTGGCCAACGTGGTGGCCAAGTGGCCCGGATACGAGTTGCTGGCCGAGAAGCTGCACCGCCACTGCGACGACATCAAGGAGAACCTCGTGACCACCGGCCGTACACTGCCCGGAGAGATCACTGTACTGAACCACGGCGACCTGTGGGTGAACAACTTCATGTACAAATACGACGACGAGCAGCCCACCAAGCCCATCGATGCCATATTCGTGAGTGATTTGATTGAGTTTTTGATCTGAAATTACTTGAAAAGTTGTCCAAGTATTTCACACTTTAGTTGGCATTTAGAAATTTAATTTAATACAAGTATAATACAAAACCTAAAGAGAATCGATTCTTTTGAAAGTTTTCGAAAAATTGTGTTGTAATATATTTCACACACTGTCTTCTCATATGGAGACTTATACTTTTTAGGGACTTCTTATTTCCTAAATTATAAAAAATATTTTGTATTTCCAAGACAGGATTGGATATTATTTTCATGTATATTTTTAATATGATACATATTAGAGTTTAATCTACATAGTAATAATTATAATTTCAGGTGGACTTCCAGAACAGCTTCTTCGGCAGCCCGGGCTGCGACATCAACTTCTTCCTGAACAGCAGCGTCCAGCTGGACGTGCTGATCCACCGGCGCGAGTTCCTCATCCAGACGTACTACGCCTCCTTGCGGGACAGCCTGGAGCGGATGCACTCGTCATTTGTGCCCAGCTATGCGGATATCCAGCAGGAGATCCGGGCGAGGGAGCTGTACGGGTTCTTCTCCTCCTACGCCTTCCTGCCGATGGTCACCATGAAGAAGGAGGACTCGTACGACATCAGCATCGAGGCCCTGACGGACCAGGACTTCGCCAAGAAGAAGGTCCAGCTGATGTTCTCCTCCAATCCCCGCACCACGGACACCCTGCGCTACGCCCTGCGCCGTTTCGACGAGCTGGGCATATTCGATTGATCACCGATTTCCGATCGCGGATCTCCAAGGATCTCCAAGGATCCCAGATCCCAGATCCCCAAATCCTTCGATCCATAGGCTTATCAATTCTTTCGCTACTTTTACTAATCGCTTTTTTTTTGTTTTTGTTTGTAAACAGTACGTAGAGTTAAGCATAATCTATACATTAAACATTATATCTACTCATAAATAATAAAAAAAAAGTTGCCTGTTAGGGGTTTTCATATTCACAGAACTTTAAAGGAGTTTCCTCTGAATTAAATAAAGTGTTTGGTTTAAAAAAATGGGACTATCAATTAGTAGCATTATTTCAAATTTAAATTAAATATTTTTTACGCGGACAAAAATGAATTAAATAAATAACTATTCCCAGAAAGAAACTCAACCAAATTAGTGATTAGAAAACCCCAATGGAAAGTCAGAGAATGTATCAACTAGAACTCCCAGGTGGACAGCCACTTGAGGCTGTGCATCGTGGAGTTGGGTTCGTTGGCCAGAGGACCACTCATTCCATAAGCCAGTGGCGAGAAAACGGCAAAGCTGTAGATCAGGATCGAGAGAACCGCTCCCAGGATAACGTGCTGGATCCACCTGGGCAGGACCCTCATTATGTAGTTAAACATTATGCCTTGTGAAATAAGAACGATTTAAGGAGGTTAGAATGTAAAGTTGGTAAATAGCTATAGTATTTGGTACCTATTAATTGTACAGCATTCTTTTGGGCAGTAAAACTACTGACTAGTTTAATTGAAATGCCAATTTTAAATTGGAAAATGGTTGCCAATTTATAGATACCCGATTGTATTGTTTTATGTACTCACCTGTCAGCAAGGAGTTGAAGATCAGGGCCGGAAAGTAGTGGTGGAAGTAGAGCACCCTGCCCATTGCCCAGAAGGGCAGGTAGTGGAGCACCCAGCCCACGAAAAGCCAGGCAGCCGCCCGCAAGGACATCGCCGGCGTGGCTGGTGGTGACCCACTCGACTCCACCGCCGCCAGGACTTTCTCCTCCTCCTCCTCCTGCGAGGGACAGCAGCTGCAGAGCTCCGTGGTGGACAGCTCCGGATCGATGGGGACTGCGTTTTGGGCCTGGGACTGAGCCAGGCCAGCTCTGCGCTGCTGCACAATGGCATTGCACAGGAAGACGGCCACGAAGAGAGCCAGGAACACCAGGTTGCTCCACCAAATCAAGGGATTCCCCAGCAAATAGATGCGGTAGGTGCTGCCGGAGAAGAACTGGCCCTGGAAAGAGAACGGAAGAAGGTGAGTCACCTGCCCGGGCATCGCCAAAAGCCATCTCGACCCACTCTGTAGTTGATGGGCCACTGCCAGGGTCTGCTGGTGACCTCGCCCTCCTTGGGCTTTAGTCCTGCGTTTCCCTGCAGCATGACGGCGTGGGATTCGAGGAAGCGGGCAAAGAACCCGGGGGCATACACGCTGAAGCTCACACTGGGCACTAATTGGGTGAAAGGAATGAGTACTTTGGATAAATGAGAGGTAAAATCACTGGGCACTCACTCAACTTGTGCTCGTTGTCCTCGACATTCCACTGGGAGTACTTGTCGCGCACGTTGAGGTTGCAGGACACCTCCTGCTGCTCGAACCCCCACTTGGGCAGCTGCTTGCCACTGGAGGTCAGAGCGCAGTTCTGCAGCAGGTGGATCAGCTTGAGCCGCGAGGTGACCGTGTGCACCGTCTCGTTGACCTTGCCGCCCACAATCATCACGCGCCAGGCATCGTTGGCATCGCCCACGCCCAACTGGAAGCAGGGATTCGCCGAGGATTACCCCATAAATGGAAGGATCCTTGGATCCGAACCACACTCACCTCGCCGTATCCCGTCACCTGCAGGTGCTTCTTGGTCATCGGCGCCGGTTCGCTGTGGGAGTGCAGGTTCCGCCTGGTCGCCACGTGCTCCAACCGGACGATGTCCCCGTGCCGCAGGATCTGCAGCTTGTCCTTGGGCAGACGCTGCTTGTTGTGCGGCTTGATCAGCCACTTGTTGTTCTCGTCCTTGTGGGTGTAGGTGGTAATCTAAATGGATTGAAATTGAGAAATTTTTAAAATCATTTTTTTTTTGTTTTTTTTTTTATTTGTTAAAAGGGTTGTGTTTCTTAAACAAGTTTACTGCGACCTATGAGGCAGCTTAATCTAATTATATATTGGGGGAAAACAAAATTTAGTCCTTAAGAGTTACTTTTTTTTTTTTTTTTAGTTGTTAAAAGGGTTGTGTTTCTTAAACTAGTTTTTTGGGGGGAAACCAAAATTTAGTCCTTAAGAGTTACATTATATCATATTATATTTAGATAAAAGTTTTACTTTCCCCTTGCAGTGTATTAAGGCCAACTCACCTGCTGCTGCCTGGCACCCGCTCCCTTGGGATACAGGTGGTGATGCGAGTGGAGGTAGCCGCCGCCCGTCTTGTGGTTTTTGATGGTCACCACCGATCCGTAGGCCACATCCCGGGGCATGCTGGCATTGTACAGGGAGTTGCCAATCAGCCTGGACTGAAAGGCCGAGCTGTAGAAGCCATCGCCATTGCCACTGCGATTGAGGACACTCAGGTGGATGTAGAAGAAGAGGGTGTAGAGCAGGATGGGCCAGATGATCAGGGTGATGGCCCGGCAGGCCACCTGCTTTACCGTCTCCAGAATGGGCTGCCCCAGATCGCCCAGGATGAGCCACAGCTCGGTGGCGGTGTGCAGACCCACCAGCAGCACCACGAACAGACCCACGAACTTCACGCTGATCGTGCAGGACAACATGGTGCCGGTGAGGAAGAGCCAGAACCACCAGCGCAGGCCGTAGGATCCTCCGGAGGCGGTGCTCTTCGAGATCTTCACCATGCCCCACACGGAGCCCATCATGAAGAACAGCAGGATGGGGTCCAGGAGGATGTACTGGTTCAGGGTCAGGAGACCCACATCTAAATGGCCAGGGAAAAACATGACATTAGTTACTATTTATCAAGGGACATTCAAATCCATCTCTGAACTTGAAATGAAAAAAAAACACATTAAACAAAAAATGCCATAATTAAGCAGATGTGCTTTTTAGTTTAGGTTAATGCACTCTAATTGTTATAATTGTTATTGTTCATCCAAACTGTTCAACTAATTTGCAAGCAGATATTTTATTGTGGATATTAAAAAACAATGAAATGGGACTTTCAAATGAATCTCTAAACTTAAAATGAAAAAAAAGCATGATAAACAACAAATGCCATAATCATATTTAGGTCAATTCATTATAATGGTTTAAAAATGATCAACTAAACTGTTCAACTAATTTGCTAGCAAATATTTTATTGTCAATATTAAAAAACTTTGAAATAATTATTTACAATTTATGATGGGACTTTTAAATGAATGAAAAAAAGTACGTTAAACAACAAATGCCATAATTAAACAGATAGGCTTTTAAGTTTAGGTTAATGCATTATAAATGTTTAACTAAACTGCTCAACTAAATTGCAAGCAGATATTTTGTTGTGGATATTAAAAACAATGAAATAATTTGCTACAATTTATGATGGGACTTTTAAACGAAAAAAGCACGTTAAACAACAAATGCCTTAGTCAAACAGATGGTCTTTTAGGTTTAGGTTAATGCATTAAAATTGTTTAAAAAATGTTCAACTAATTTGCAAGGAGATATTTTGTTGTGGATATTAAACCTACCAAAAACCAGATAGGCAGCCGAAAGCAAGGCAGCCTCGTGGGATCGCGTCAGATCGTAGACAGTATCGAATCCCATCGGCATGATCAGAGCTCCCAAAGTGGTACAGAACTATGGATAAAAACAATATGTTATTACGTTTAAAGTATTTCTTGGTTTTTGGTTTGGGAATCTCCATTACTCACATATCTCATGCCCTGGTAACGAGTTTCGTTGTACTTGTCCCCAGGTTTCTCGAACGGAAACGTTCCATTGTAGCCGGTCAAGTAGCCAGAGAGTCCAATGAGCATCTTGTGAATAAGAAAATTGTTTAAAATATATTTGTAATATGTAATACTTTCCAGCACTCCCACCTTTCCCAGCGGAGGATGGACATCGAAAAAGAAGGTTCTGTTGATGTACCAACTGCCCATCTTGCCGAAGTGCGTCTCGTCCCAACTGGAAGATGGATAAATGGATTAGGTGCGGTGATCCAATTGCAAGTGGGGCATGCCACATTACCATATGTGATCCGGTTCGGTCACCTTGTAAAAGCGGGTGGCAAAGGTCACAAGGAAGACAGTGGCCAGCAGAAGCCACCAATTCCTGTTGGGTGTAGGAATTTCCAAAGGTTGATTAACATTCTTTCGATCTGACCATGTTTCACTCACCAGTTGGCCTCATTGTTGGCTTTTAGCCCTGCACTCACTGTATTTTTGGCAAGATCTTTGGCAGACCCTCGTCTTGGGCACTTGGGAGTTTTTACCACACTTGCTGCCATAATTATCAAGGTTTTTTAGCAACTGAAATGGGGCATTTCTTTGCCTGTTGCACACGTCAACAAAAACAAGCCAAGAATGCTTTCTCTTTTGCCACTTGATCTTTCCTCTGTCTTGGCCCAAACCGGTCTGCGACTTGGCTTTAACTGTGCTTTGGCCAAACAAATCGTGCTCAGCTGTTCGAGGAGCTGCTTTTTCTGGCTTTATCGATAAATCTCGGCCAAGACGGGTCTTTAACCAGTTTTACTTAATGGTAAGTCTTTCGATTCAGTCGCTACCAGCGAATCTGGTGGCTAGCATCCGTACTAAGTTTTAAGAAACCCATCGTAAAAGTATGCAATACCTTAAAAATAATGAAAATAAATATAAGGTTTCTTTGACAAGATTTAAAGAAAACTGCTGAATTGATGTTGGAATAATAACATCCAGAATTGCTCAGATTTTCTTGTTTTGGTTTTTGTTTAACGATTTGTCACAACCAAATCTTTATAAAACCAATACTTCTCATTCTGTTTTTAGGGGTATGGCCTTATTTCAAGTTTGTTTACATTTAAATTTTAAAAAACTTAAACAATTCCTAAACTGCCATATTTCATCATATTTCATCGCCAGAAAGCCAATTTAAAACCATTTAAAAGATAAAATAAAGACTTTTTGTTTTACAGAGTTTTATTTTTTCACTAAAATTCAAATTCAATATTAACTATTTTTCTGTGTTTTTATAGCCATGAAACAACAACAAGTTAAGACGGCAGGCATCAAATTGAAAGCCGAAACCGGTTGTAGGCCAAAGTTAATGGCCAAAATTGGTGGGTCCATTGAAATGCATTTGTCTCTCAATTCGTTTTCTGTTGCGGTTCATTTAGTTCGGAAAATTGCCCCAAACCGCAGAGTTCTTAGCTGCATTTAGCACCCGCAAATGGCAACCGATTGGTCTATTTGCCCCAAACTCCCAGCCACGTTTGCCTTTTGGCCAGATCGCTCTCTCCCGGCTTTTGGCTCTTGACCAACTTGCCTGCCGGTCTTCTATCATGCCGATCTGCTTTTTCCTACACAGACAAAAACTAGGATCAAATTGATAAAAACAATCAAGAAATATCGAAATGTTGGCAAGGGAATTCCCTTCTTAAAAAAATATTTCCGATAAAAACAAAAAGAAAATCGGATTGGATAAGTGTTGATGTTCTTCTTTTCAAGGTATTAATTTTGGAACCGAACAGTTTGCCATTTTGATTCTACAGCTTAACTGTTTTTAGCTCTGCTTTGATACCCAAAACTGAAACAAAAATTGTATATATTGTATATGTAATTGTTTTCTGTGCAGAATGGGCAAGAACAACAGAAACGACGGCTCCGATGTGGATGACGATAAAGCGTCAGGCTTGGCTTGGCACCGCCCTCGGCCACGTCTCGTCCCGGTCTTGGTTCCCTGCTCTGGGCCAAGTCCGTCCGCCCATCCGTCCCTCCCTCCACCCCCCTTCCCTCCCTCCATCCATCCACTCGTCCGAGAATTCAAGTCCGAGTCCGAGTCGCGGGGCTGGGCGGCATTAATCGCTTTGATCTTGGCGCACAAGAGTTAATTGCACGCTTGCTGCACAGTTGCTGTTGCGGCGATTTTGCTGCTGTGATGTTGCTGCTGTGATGTTGCTGCTGTGTTTCGGCTTGTTGCCTGCAACAGCCGCCCGGCAATTTGTTGGATAGAAACGTTGCCGGCACGCGGTGTGGCAGCTTCAATCAAATTAATTGTGCCACTGTTAATACTCATGTTTCTGGCGATATACAAATACCCAGTAAGCAAAAATAAAGCTGCCACTGAAAGTCATCTAAAAATATTAACTAAACAAATACAGTTTAAAATTTGAAGATAGCCTCTCTCATTGTATTATACTTGTATTAAAAAACATTTATTTTTGATGTGTATTTTTTCTAAAAGTATCATATATTTATTTGGTTATCAAAAAGAGTTTAAATGTTTTCAGAAATTTACAATTTATAATGGGACATTAATTGGCCATCGGAAATAAGTATATTGGATTTAATTATTTGAGTACAGGGTATAGACCAGTCGCCTATAAAAATCCGGTAACCGCAAAGCCTTTCTCGTAATGTGTGTGACACTCTCAGGGTGGCTGAAAAAAAGGGAATAAACTGGAAAAAAAGGGGAACACGCAGAGCCACAGGTGGAGGATTAGGTAGTGGAGTGGTGCAGGTGGTGCGGTGGTGCGGTGGTGCGAGTGGTGCGAGTGGCGGATCCAGCAAAACGCTGGCAATCAACGCTGAGCTCTGTCATTAAGCATTTTCCTTCTAATTGCCATCGCTCGGACCGCAGACAATAACAACAATTTAGCCTTTTTGTTGCAATTAAACGAATTCGCAGCAGTGCCCCTCCGAATTCCGCGCCCCCCGAACCCTTCGTCTTTTGCGGCGGCAATTTTCGCATCATTAATCCACATGGATGTGGCTTTCAGAGTGATGAACCTGGTCATGTCGTGAGAATCGAGGGTTACCCCGCGGACTCAAGCACTTGTGGAGCATGAGGTGTACAAATCTTGAGTGCAATAAGGACATCCCAAAGTCACAGAACTGTAAGGTAAGATAATCCCAAGGTAATCCCAAGCTAATCCCAAGGCAGTAAAAACACCTTCAAATCATCAATTCATTTAAATTATTCACAATTTATTAAATTGATTGCTTATCTTAAGACTATTTAAAATCAATATTTAAACTAGGGAAAAAAAACACTTTCTCTATGTACAGACTTACGATTAGCTAAAGAACTACTAATAAAACTGGAGGTGATGGATGCACTTGGGGGGCAGGGCGAACTTTAAAGCTATTAACACATTTCAGTTTTTCCTTTTCGGGGCTTACGAACTATACGTACACTCGATTGCGTTTGTGTACTTAGATCAGAGCTTAAAGCCTTCTGGGGTTAAGAGGGGTTTTCCTACATACATATATATACAATGGAGTTCGGAGTGAGGAATCCTTAGACCCGCGACTGATTGGGATTGTAAACGGGCACGTTGTGGAAACTGATGCCGGCGTAGAGCGGAGCGGTGGGCATCATGGACTTGCCACTCGTGTACAGCTGCTTCTTGGGCAGCGCCCCCGCCGACTTGCTTTGGTTCATCAGCGAGGAGGAGGTGGGCGTGCCACCCGCCCCCAGCCGATTTCTATAGCTCTCGCAGGTCTTGCGCGACCACACCCACAATCCGGTCAGCGTGCCGCCCACCAGCTGGAAGAAGATCCGGACCAGCGCCGGCCAGGCACTCAGCGGCATGGGCGGAGCACAGTCCTCAGGAGTGGAGCAACTGGGCACCGAGTCCGCGTACCGCTCGCAGAGGGCCGCCACCACGCCGGCGGCCGTGGGTGCAAAGTAGAGCAGCGAGAAGACCACGAAGCGCTTCCGGATCTGCCCGAATCGATGGTGGGCGAGTGTGGGCTGAAGCTGCTGCTGGAGGAGGAGCAGGGATCGGGAGGCCCGCAGGGTGAAGTACAGCCCGAGCAGCAGGAGGATCAGGGCGGGCAGCTCCACGAAACCCGGGGCATAGCACATCCCGGTCAGCTCGCTGGGACGCACTCGCTCCAGCAGCAGGGCGGCGATGGGCGGGGCCAGGGGCGGCACCCAGGCCAGGACGTGGAACAGTCCGGAGCGCTTCTCCAGCGCCTCGCTGGACCACTTCTTGTGGGAGGAGAGGTAGAAGCAGAGGGCGAAGATCAGCCACCAGCTGGCGGCGCAGAGACTCAGATACGAGGTGGTGATGTAGGAGGCCAAACAGGGGGGCGTCAGCAGGCAGGCGGGTCGCAGCAGGCGGCCCTGGACGGGGAGGTCCTGCATCCGCGCCTGGTTGTGGAACACGATCCGCTCCAGATAGCACACGCTGAACAGGTTGTAGCACAGGCAGAGGAAGAGCACGGGTCGCTCCGGATATCCGAACCGGGTGGGCTCCGCCCAAAAGGTGACCAATGCGAACAGGGTGAGGACGAAGCAGACGGCCGATAGGCCCAGGATCAGGCTCTCCGACAGCTTCTTCTGGGCGCTGGTGTGGAAGGCATCCCGCTGGCACTGGGGCACACACTCCTCCGGATTGAAGGGACTGCCGCTGAAGTTCTGGGGGCAGAGGACGCCGCCACCCGAACCGGGAGCAGGTGGTGCCCCGCTCCGCCAGAAGCGGTACGTGGGGTGACCTTCACCGGCGCCGCCGCCGCCGCCGGGCGGACTAGTGGTGGAGGGGGACTACCCGGAGCACCACCTGGAGCAGCCACCTCCTGGGGTATCTGCATACACAGCTCGTGCTTCTCCGGCTGCGGCAGTCCGTCGCAGTGGAGGAACGAGGGCCACAGCTCCATCAACTCCGGCGGGGCGTTCGCCGAGCACTCGCCGCGCACCGTTTCGCACAGCGACTTGCAGGCGGTAACGGGGCGTGGCACATCCGGCGAGCAGAGCGGAAACAGCGCCGAGCAGAGCAGAAAGCGAGCGCGACGCGAGCAACCGGATTCGATCAGTGGCACCAGCTTGGCAATCTGCAAAAAAATAAAAACAATTATTACCATGGGAATTATGTTGCATAAGCAATGCTTAATTAACTGAATTTATTGTATTTAAATACGGACACCAAGGGATTATAAAAATAATTTTTAGAATGTTCCAACATTTTTGAAGCCCAAATAATATATTTCAAGCATGTATGAAATGTTTCATAAAAATATAATTTAACTTTAAAAACATTATTCTGAATTGGAGAAACTATTCAACTAAGCACATAAAATCCAATTTTATTCGCCGATCTAAATAATAATTTCAGTGTTTGAATTTGAAAACAGATAATTCATGAGCATCATCAAAAGCAGACATAAACAATTCAAGAATCAAAGCGAAAAGTAAGGATGATTCAATAATAGATTAAATTAAGATCAAATGATTCTGGCAATTAAATGAAAAGTTGAAAGGGAATAATAGCATGTTGACTATCTGGCAAATTAAATAATAATTTATACGTTGCCTTATAGCATTCTACACATTTACCAAGCCGATATCTCTAGCAATATGCCAATAAATATTTGTAGTTATATAATTGTTTAAATCAAACAGCAAAGCGAAAAAATTCCGTGCGATTTCTGAAGCTTTTATCAATTAACAACATTTAATTGTATCGTTGGCTTCTGCGAAAAAAAGGCAACTTGAAAGACCACCGCCGAATAATTAGATCGAAATTTGCTGTTCGATAAGCAAAATAGCAACATGGGAAAAAACGAGGAAAAGTACATACGATTCTAAACAATTCGCATTCCGGTTCACACTTTTGCTGTTTGATGTCTATAATTTTATCTAATAAAAATGCAATAAAAGCTCTGGCTTTCTTTGTTGTTTTGCCGACACGCCAGCAGCAACAAAAAGGTAATTTAACAAATGTTTGCCATTTGCAACAATTGAGCGGCATAAATACAGTTTGTTTACACCGACTAATGTCTGATATTAAATTAGCTGAAATTGCAAAATTAGATCGTGTAATGCTAATGATTTTCCTCTGCTTTTGCCGTCTTTGGAGAGAGATCTCAAAAAAGTTTTTGTTGGCACAGATTATTTCAGTATTTAAATCGGAAAAAGGGTTTTTCGAGTGTCTAGTAATGAAGTTAGGATTTTTAAGTTACAGCAAAATTAACTTATATACTTGAGTAGCCTTTTATGTCTTGAAAAAATAAGTAATGTTATTTCTCCGCACCATGTTGTAATTTTTGTGTGCGTCTGGATCTTTAAAATCGTTTCTTGTTTATTTTCCATTAACAGTCTCGCACGTTTGTGTGTGTTTGGTGTGAAAACTTGCGTCAGACTTCACACATGGAAAAACGCCGCCAGTTTCCCAGTTGCGAGTTCATTCCATTTCCATTTGCAGTTGTCGATGGCAATTAATTGTCAATTACCAGCCATGCAATCTAATAACTTCAAACGAAGCCACAATTTCTCATCTCGACTCGACATCAACCGATGCGAAATTAATCCAGCCAAGAAAGTCACAAAGGAACACGGAAAAAAATGGTATGGTATTTCTTACTGAGATATTTTTAAAAGATATATTTTAAATATTTAATGTACATCAGATTTATGCCACTTAAAAACGTATTACCCATTAATCGAAACATGGATTTTTATATTCAAGGCAGCTTTATTATAATATTCGGATTTGCGGCTTTGATCTCCCGAATTTCACCGAAGATCTAATTTTTTCCCGTGTGCACCCTGTCCATTGTCCATCATACGAGAAATGCCGACATTGATGACGATGACGAACCAGACGCATCAACATTTATGAGTTTGTGGAATTTTAGACAAGTCAGCGCGGCAGGAAAAAACCAGGACCCCAAGACAGGGCCAACGTTTTGGGGCAGACAGAAGAAAAAAAAAAAAAAACAAGAAAGGAAAGCTAACTTCGGGCGGAGCCGAAGTTGATATACCCTTGCAGAATACTCTGTAAATTATATTTTCCAAAATTATTCATATGAAGTTTGGTAGGTCGGATTGATTGGCCAAAAATAAAACCCATAGAAAATCCCAACTTCCTAACTTTACAAACACCAAAGTTATGGCATTTCCGATCGTTCAGTTATATGGCAGCTATACTATATAGTCGGCCGATCCTTAAAAAATTCGGTACGTCAAATTGATTGGCCAAATGTAAAACCCATAGAAAATCCCAACTTCCTAACTTTAAAAACACCAAAGTTATGGCATTTCCGATCGTTCAGTTATATGGCAGCTATAGGATATAGTCGGCCGATCCCGGCCGTTCCGACTTATATACTGCGTGCAAAGGAAAGAAGGGTGTGTGCAAAGTTTCAATTCGATAGCTTTAAAACTGAGAGACTAGTTTGCGTAGAAACAGACAGACGGACAGACGGACAGACAGACGGACAGACGGACAGACGGACATGGCTATATCAACTCAGGAGGTGATCCTGATCAAGAATATTTATACTTTATATGGTCGGAGATGTCTCCTTCACTGCGTTGCACACTTTTGACCAAAATTATAATACCCTCTGCAAGGGTATAAAAACAGGAAACCTGGAGAGCAAAAAAGCTGCATCGAATTATCGAGAAACGATTTCTCAGGAAAGAGACCCCGGTCGCGTCTCCTTTTGATACTTTTGATACGTTTTGATACCCGATGAACCGATCTCCGGGGGGACTTTTGACATGGATTTGATGGCTGCTCGTTCCCCGGCTCTTTGTTTGCTGTGTGCTGGCTAACAGTAACCATATTGTTGTTGTATAATTAAGCCACATTAGGCCACAAAAATAAAACACAAAAAAGAGGAAAGAGGCAAGAGGAAAGGAAAGGAAAGGAAAAGAAGGCCGGCATCTCCAAGAACCGGCGGGCATCTCGAATGAAGCATTAGACACGCGATTTCCAATTTTTGTGGCTTTTGCAGCTCTCTGGAAAATAGCTGCCAGCAATAATAATTTAATGATGCAGTCGGCAAGTGAACCGCATCATCGTCTTGGCCGAAAGCCAAGCAGCACAACAACAACAAAGCCACTCTACAAAAAAAAAAAAAAAACGGAAAGGCAATCAGCCTAATAGACCTGCCTTGGCCCACGAGTGGGAGTGAGAGGGTCGCATTCGGAGCGAAAGAGACAGGCAGAGCAGGTAAAAGAGAGCGGAGACAGGTGGGGAGCAAAACAGTGGTTCGAAATTCCAAGAAATCTACATATCTGCACTGCATTTATGTTTTTTGTTATAAAAATGGTTAATTTGGCACTGACTTGATTTCATTTAAAAGTAACTAATTCAAAGCTATTTTCCTATTTATCTATATATGTATATATATTTTTTAACCATCTCATAACTACTCTTTAGTGCTGAGAAGCTTAACCATTGGTAGGTAAATAAATAATAAACAGCAAACAGTGGTTCGAAATTCCAAGAAATTTACATATCTTGAGCCCGGTTTGAGGGCACTGCATTTATGTTTATTGTTCTAAAAATGGTTAATTTGGCACAGACTTGTTTTCGTTTAAAATAAACAAATTTAAAGCTATTTTTCTAACTATCTATATTATTTTTTCGCCAGACTGCTCATTTTGAGGCAACTATGTACATAAGCTAATAACTACTCTATGGTGCTTAGAAGCTTACCCATAGGTATTTAAATAAATAATAAATATGACGATATCAACCACTGTGCCTTGCACAGTGTCTAAAATGTATTATTAATGCAAAAGGGCATTGCTTGGTCATCATCATCATCATCATCCCCTTGGTCATGATGATCGCCTCCAACTCTCCAGTCTGCGCAGCGAATGCAATCTGCAACGCTTTGAGCATTTTTTTCGTGTTTCTTTCGAAGTTGCTTGGAATACTTTTTTTTTTATTTTTTTTTTCATTTTTGTTTGGCCACGCAAAAGCCAACGAAAAGTTGGCGATTCGCCGCGGAACGCCATCCACCCGACCAAAGGCGACAAATTCGTTTTGGTTGCGGCGCAAAATTATGGTTATTACTGAGGGCAGTCGGCAATTTGAAAGGCATTAGGTGAAGTCGCGGCATTGTAAGCCTTTGAACACTTAGTGTTTCTATAGTAATCATCGAGATATACATATATATAAATATATTGGCATTTATATTTCCAAGAAAATATAACTTAAATATATCTAACAAATATTTCATAAGCATGTAAGCTTTTAAATAAGCAAAAAACCCGAATGATAATACATATAAAAGCTGTATATAAATTTCAGCCTGTGATGTTGTCTTAATTTATTGTTTGAAAAGTTTAAAAAAATCTTTAAAAATATATTTTGACTGATCAGCTTGACAACTTCGCTGGCTGCACAAACTGTGGTTAATATAATGAATTTGGGCTTTGGTGGGATTTTGAAAAATCATGAAATCAACGTTTGTGTCGCCGACTGGATAAGAACCACAAGAGAAAAAAAGAGTTCTGCTTAATTTACTTAAAAACTGAAAAACCGAGCATTCGTACCCCTTCCTTAACCCATTATTTTTCGAGTTTCGTTTCGGTTTTTGGGTTTTTCTTCCTCTTCATCTTCTGCTTCTTCTTGCCTTTTGACTCGCGGCTATTTCCTTTAATTTCGGTTTTAGTTTTTTTTTTTTCTCTCGGCTTCTTTCGCAGCATGTTTCACACTTTTTTGGGTGAAGTCTGCCCGACCGAAAAACATTTAATTTTGTTCAATTTGAAACCCCTTTTCCCCGCTCCGCGCCGCACCCTCCCCTCGCCCCCTGCCAATGGTCACAATTCAATTACAAGGCCCAGAACAGCAACAACAATGGGCAAGTTGACACCTCGCAGCCTAAACGCAAACCTAATGATTTCTCGATTTTGATTAATGATGGCGAGGCAACAAATAAAATCAATGGTAGTCCCAAAAACGAAACGAAATGGAGAATAAAATTGCTCAGCGGCACTTTGAATTTGAATATGTGTTTTTTCGAAGGGAATTACGAGCAGAAAAAAGCACATAGAAATATGCACAGTGAAAAATGAAGGTGTTTGAATTATGCCA